CGTGCCATAGGGACACGTAAATGTGGTTTTCTCTTGGTCCTTTGGGGCTATAGAAATATGAGTATACCCCAAACAACCATCTAGGAAACAGTAGTATTCCTGGCCAGCCAAAATATCAAGCATTTGGTCAATAAAGGGGAGGGGAAGTGGTCCTTTCGGGTGGCATTGTTTAATTTTCTATAATCTATGCAAATTCTCCACCCAGTGACAGTTCTCGTGGGAATCAAGTCATTATTTTCATTGACCACTACCGTCATCCCCACTTTCTTAGGCACACATTGGATGGGGCTTACCCATTTGCTATCAGAGATTGGTAATACAATACCTGCATCAAGCTACTTAATCACTTCTATTTTTACCACCTCTTTCATGATTGGATTTAGTCTGCGTTGTTGCTCCACACTTGGCTTGTGTACGTCCTCCATGAGGATTTTATGCATGCATAAAGCTGGACTAATGCCTTTAATGTCAGACATCATCCACCCAATTGCTAGCTTGTGCTCACGTAGCACTCTCAACAGCTTTTCTTCCTGCAATTTAGACAGTCAGAAGAAACAATAACAGGTAAAGTGTCAGAACCACCCAAATAAGCATATTAAAGGTGAGGAGGCAAGGGTTTAAGCTCCAATTTTGGAGCTTCTTCAATTGACGGCTTTGGAGGAGGCCCACTTGGCCTATTTAAGGGCTCAAAAGAGTGTATTCCCTGCATGTAAGCACAAGATGCATCATCTCCTTAACCTCATCATCAATCTCCAAGCTATCGAACAACATGAGTGCTTTCTCTAGAGAATCGTCTAGATATACACTCGTGTCAAGAAGTTTCTCATCCATCTCCGCACAGATATCATCGACTCTTTTACTCTATTTTATCACAAAAATGAAAATTTGAAAAATATTTTCTTTTATTTAGCTAATTAATATTTTATCTAGTTACTTTTAATTTATCTACCTTACATAAAATTTGAAAATACAAAAATTAGTTTCACTTTTAGTATTTAGTTTTATATTAGTTTATTTTAATTAAGAGTGATTTTTACACTTTATAGATACATTGTATTATTGGTCTTCTTAGCATAAATTCAAACCCAAAAGACATGGTCCAACCAAATTTCCCAAATCCAGGCCCATTTACCCTTTCTCCTCTTATACCTAATTAAAATAACCCTAGAAAAAGACCCCTAACCTAGTCTTGGAGATCAGCCGTAGGACCCTAGTGAAAGAACCCCCAGCGTTTTACCATCATCTTCTGCTGAGAACCAAAAAAACGAGAGAACCCTAGTCTAAAGAAATTAGCCGCAATAAACAAAAGAAAGGCTCCTTCTTGAACAAGCGAAGAAGAGATCTCCCATCGGTTCCTGCTTCTTCATCTCAATACCAATGACCTTTCTTCTTCTTCCACATGCACCTGGAACCCTAAGACTCCATGAACGCCCTTCTAGCTCCTCCATGAGCTTCTTTTTCAACAACAACCTTAGACCTAACCCCAGAGAAGCTAGAGATCCCAGCCGTTACTGCTATTTCATCTTTGACCTTCAACACTACACGTGGCTATTCAACTCAGCCTAAAACCTGCCTAAACTATCATATTTTTTTCAGTTACCTACTTAAACTATTCAGTGTCCCCGAAATCCCCCACGAGCTATATTTTCTTATATATTAAAAACCCCATATTGAACTTTTAAAGGTGTGTTTATCAAACTATTAACTGTGATTTTAAAAAAATATTTATATAATTTACTCTTGATGTATTACTCTAGGATGATTGATTAAATTTAGGAGTTTTGGCCAAAATAATATTTAATGTACTGTGTTAATTTTAGGTTTAATTGTGCCAAACTCCAATTAAATAAGTTATTTATATTCACTTTATATCAAAGTAAAAAATATAAATAAAGGCATATAGTGTTTTATTGCTTAAAATTCATCTTATATTACATAAAAAAGATTACACAAAATAAAATTTCGCAAATAAAAAATTAATTAGCCAACAAATACAATTACATTCTCTAATTTGATATTACATAAAGAAGGTTCAAGATATTAAACTTTATTCTCTACATGGTGTTGAGTTTAATAAGAAGATTTAAATTGGTATTCTTTCGACGATATGTGTAGACATGAAAGAAGACTAAAACAAAAAAGAAAATAAATCATTTCAGAGGAAACAAGAGAGGGGGAAATTTTTCCATAGGAAACTCATATGGAGAACTGAAGAAAAAAGGTTAAAAAATGATGAAGAAGGTGGAAAAAAAATAAAGAATGTAAAAAGAAAAAAGAAAAAAAGAAGGAAGAATGGTGAAAAAATGAGGAAGAAAGATGAATATAACTAAAATAAAGAGAATATTTACTTAAAAAATAAATGTGAAAGAGGGTTACTAATTAGGAATTATTTTATGTTATATGAGCCATTTTGATGGCTTTTTTCAGCTACCACGCGCTCCCAAGCGAGTGTCCACACACGTTATGCCAGGTCAGCGATGAGGGGCTTTTAATATGAAAGACAATAAAGTTCGGAGGGAGGGGGGTTGGTTTGGAACCACCGAATAGTTTGAGTAGGAAACTAACAAAAATGTTATAGTTTAAAGAGATTTTAGGGTATTAACTCTTTAGATTATGCAAATGCTTAAGGTGACATTAGCTTATGCAACATTTAAAAATGGGAAAATGCATAAGTACCCCCCTGACCTATACCCGGATTCCCAACTACACACTTTTTCTTTGCGGGAATCCTATTACCCCCCTAAACTTATTTTAAATGGAATAAATACCACCCTAAAACTAGACAACCAAACTCTTGCCAAGTGGTTAGCTACACGCGTGTTTAACCAAAAAATAGATTTTTAGTCAAAGCTAGAAATTAGAAGAATCGGGTTACTAATAATCGAAAAAGTAAATAAAGAAAGAAATTTTAGAATAGCCAAGTATGAAAGCTGGTAAATCAGAGTATATTTCAGTAGTCACTCCCCCTCCAGTGATTACATATTTCTCCTTTTATAGGTCCCTTTGGGAATCTTTGGGAATGCACGTTATGCCTAAGTCATATGAGGCTATTATGAGTGATTAATGACATTAAATGCTATGTTACATAATCATTACATTGAATGTATATATTCCTTAACGGCTCCAGCATTTAATACCCTTTAAATGCCATATTTGCATCTTTTTCTTTAACCAGGTTCATTCTTCTCATTGCTTGTATGTAAATAAGCTTAAACAGGAACGGGGCGCTGAGCCTCTCGTTTCGTGCCTCTTTTTACCCGTACTTGTTTGTAACTCTTGAACCGTGGCAAATCACAACTCATTATCCATTCCACGGGTCAGGACACGTCATCATGTATATATGAATATAAATTTTCCCCAATACAGATAGTCCCCCCACATTCCATTTATTCATAAGTTCGAATATTGGGAAGTGGAATTCATTAAAGGAGAATTTTTGTCACCATTAATGCTCTGACAGAGTTGACGCTTCAATTGTCACTTCCTTTTAATGCACTAGACACGTGTCATTCTCTTATTGGTCGTACTTTTTTGCAGCACTTTTTTAGGCTTTCTTTTCGGCTTCACTTTTCACGAAGTATCAGTTATCATTATTATGGTTCTTCCATCATCGTACTTTTTCTCTTTGCCAGTTATCCATTAGTATAAATATAACTTCTCTTATTGTCTTGTTTCACATAAAGCGTATTAAACACTCTAATCTTTCGAAATCTTCTTATTATTTTCTGCTCCACTTCAGCCCTCTCTGCCATGGCTTCATCAAATCCTAACCCTAAGAGAACCCCCATTCTGGATAGCTTCCCCAATGCTCCGATTAGACACAGAAGAGGGGGTAGACTCCGTAGCCTTGGATCTGTTCGTGGTAGTACGTCAACTCCTTCTTCTAGCTCTGGTCCCTCTTCTGGGACTAGGGGTTCACATTCT